CCAAATAGATGGAGTCAAGGACCTTCTTTTCTTCATCTGCATCCTGATCAATGGCCAACAGATCCCACAAGAAATCTGGACCCCTCTCCAGATCCTTCTGAGCTTCGCCGATCAACTTTCTGTGGTGTGTCCTCAATGTCTGAAGCCGACATTAGTCAATACAACACCTGGAAGGAGCTGCTCAACGTCACTGTGCAGGAGCTGCACGGGGCGGCTGATAAAGACACCCCTAAAACTTCTGAGGACTACCATCAAGCAGAAGTTTTTATCATTAGGAGGGCCCAACAAACCAGTTTCCCAGACGACTTTAACCTTCTGAAAGCTCAAAACCCAGTCCGACGGAGCAGTCGCCTCCTAACTTTATCTCCAGAGCTGGATGAAAAGGAGGAACTGATTCGAGTTGGTGGTCGTCTGCGCCGATCCGAAGATTTAACTTATGGCAGCCTGCATCCACTGATACTTGATCCTTCTCACCCAGTCACTCGTCTGATTATTCAAGATTATGACATCCGACTGCGTCACCCAGGACCGGAACGTGTGTTTGCAGAGTTGAGGTGCAAGTACTGGATCCTGAGAGGCAGAGAGGCAGAGAGGCTGTTCGTCATTTTCAGAGAACCTGTACTGAATGTCGTAGATGGAGAGCGAAACCAGTCGTACCCAGAATGGCTGATTTACCAAGAGCTCGGCTTCGCCTATTCAAGCCAGCCTTTTATTCTACTGGAACTGACTGTTTTGGACCCATGGAGGTCAAAGTAGGTCGGCGTTTGGAGAAGAGGTGGGGAATCATTTTTAAATGCCTGACGGTGAGAGCTGTGCATCTGGATGTCCTGACTTCCATTGATACAGACTCCTTTCTGATGGCACTTCGGCGGTTCATCGCCCGAAGAGGAACCCCAGCAGAGATTTATTCAGACCAGGGGACAAACTTTAGAGGAGGTAATGCAGAGCTGAAGGACGCGTTTACAGCCATGTCATCAGACCTACAACAGCTCTTGGCCCCACAGAAAATCAAATTTCATTTCAACCCTTCAGCAGCTCCCCACTTTAGAGGTTCATGGGAGCGAGAAATACGCTCTGTGAAAAATGCTTTGTACACTACAGTTGGGGCACAGCCAGTGCCAGAAGAGGTCCTCCACACAGTGCTTGTGGAGGTGGAAGGGATTCTCAACTCAAAACCGCTTGGCTATGTTTCCTCGGATGTAAGTGATCCAGATCCTGTGACCCYCAACTGCCTTCTCATGGGGCGGCCTGATGGATCTCTGCAACAGGTAGTTTACGCCAAGGATGAGCTTCTTAGCCGCCGCCTCCGGTGGAAGCATGCACAAGTACTTGCTGACCATTTTTGGGCACGCTTCATTCGCTTGTACTTACCTGGACTGCAGCCTCGTCAAAAGTGGCAATCCAACGCAGATGACATCACTGAAGGGACTGTTGTTATGATGGTGGATCCCCAGCTCCCGCGGGCTCTTTGGCCCGTTGGGCGCATTGTCAGAGTTCACCCCAGCCCTGATGGACATATTAGATCAGCAGATGTGAAGGTCAAGGTCAAGGACAGAGTATACACAYGGCCTGTGGCAYGACTGGTCGTGCTCCCAGCCCTTCCTGAAGAATAACAGTTATTTCCCATCACAGGAATAACTGTTGTATTGGACTAAGGACTTTGTTTGGAGCAAATGTACTGAATACATTTGGGGGCGGCTGTACAAAAGGCCCTGTATATTGCCTTAAGCTTGYCCAAGTTCATTTGTTATTAATGTAAGTTTGTAGTTATTCTGTTAAGTATCCTTTATCCTTTCTGGGTTGCCGTAGCATAGTAGTCGCACTATGATGACATCATCACTGCTGCTCATGCCTGTAGTAAGGTGTGGCTTCCACATGGGAGAGTTAGTTGCCTGAAGGAGATCTGAGAGAATAAGAACATGCTGTCAGCTAAAGTGCATTTCCTGAGTGTGCATTATTGACAAGAAACCACACACAAATAAATACACACATAAATACATACACATACACACACACATGCACACACATACATTTACCTAAGTTTTACCTTCATGGAGAGATGCCTGTACCCCTGTTCACTGCAAATGTTCTAAATACAGAAGTTAAATGGAAATCTGCATAGTGTCCTCCTTGTTACTCTCTGCTGAAGTGCTGCTTGTGAACCATTTGAGATCCTGCACCATCCTGGCCTTGAAGTAGTGTTCTGGCTGACACTCCAGGTTGAGAGCTGTGAGAAAATATAACTAGTGCCTTACAGTCTTAATACAAGAGAGTTATCTCACCTACACTAATGTTACAACTAATCGGGGATCCCTTTAACAGTCACTAAAACACCATGGTTAAGGAAATACAAGCAATACAATAAAAGAATAGATGATAAATAGGTAATGGTTAAAAACATAGGCATCAACATGGGTGGGGGGRSGGCTGTGGCRGAGTGGTTAGGGGAGTCGTCCTGGAACCAGAAGGTCACTGGTTCCATCCCCCGTCCAGCCGTCTCAGTCGTTGTGTCCTTGGGCAAGACACTTSACCCACCTTGCCTACTGATGGTGGTCAGAGGGTCCAGTGGCACCGATGCATGGCAGCCCCACCTCTGTCAGTGTGCCCCAGGGCAGCTGTGGCTACAGTGTAGTTTGCCATCATCAGTGTGTGAATGTGAGTGTGAATGGGTGAATGTCTGTTACTGTAAAGCGCTTTGGGGTCCGGAGGGACTTGAAAAGTGCTCTATAAGTTCAGTACCAGTACCATTTACCATCAATCAAAGGCTTTATTAACTCTATCTTTTAGGACTAAACTGAAGGATCAGTTTCAGATCAGTCTGTAGGGTAGGCCCCTACGCGTAAAATTCAACGTCCGCAGGCCAACTGTAGCTCACCACAATATTTTATGTGGCCCACAAAAGCTTCAGAAATGTATTAAAATAAGCTGTTTTAAATCCAGCATTGAGCATAAATTACGTCTCCCATGATGTATGTTGTTGTTTTTACCCACAAAACAACCAACATCCCACCACCAGRTGGCGGTGCACAGCTGGTGAAATCCGTAGTGTAAAATTTCCATTTTGCTGCATTTTGCTGGCTGCTTTTGCTGCGGCCCAGTTGTACTGGGGAGTGGGAATTTCCCTATTAGAAGTCATAAATTCAAACTTGAATTCTAAGAACAGCAATAAATAAAGTGGTCGTCGGCATAAAAATATTAGAAAGCAGTAAAAACAGCTCACTTAAGGTTAGTTTGTTACACTTTACTGTTTTTAGTTTGACAACACTTATTGTGTTATTGTGCTTCTTCAGCTTCTTGGTAAAAAACAACAATGGTGACATGTCTTCCACAGGGTGACTCCGGGGGGCCTCTGGTCTGTGAAGGAGCTCTAGGGAGGTTCTTCCTGGCRGGTGTGGTGAGCTGGGGCATGGGCTGCGCACAGATCAACAGACCAGGAGTTTACGCCCGCGTCACCAAACTCAGAAGCTGGATCCTGAARCACACAAACCCAAGCTTGGTCAACGAACAGCCACAGCTGGCTCCCATCACAGCAGCTCCGGTGACCAAGAGGCCAACTGATAACATGCAAGCGCCCAGAACCGTAGCCATGGATGAGCCCGTACAAGCAATGTCTGGTAATGAGTTTATTGTAGATTGAGGCGAACAGCGTAAAAGCAACTATCTGTGATTTGAACATTATGTGTTCCAGCCGTGAACTGCAGTGACTACTTCCAGTGYAGCTCCAGTTTGTGCATCAGCAAGGTCAACCCGGAGTGTGACAGCGTCCCCGACTGCCCCGATGAAGCTGATGAAAGAAACTGCGGTGATTAACAC